GTATTGCCCCAGTACAATACCTGCACCAGCTGGTATCAAAGAGGGAGGAGTGGAAGGCTTTGAAGGTTCTTTTGTCTCCTCAATAAAGACACTCCTGTTGCAGTGCTTTCCTGTTCCCTTCCACATTTAACCTCTGAGCTGGCAGTGTTTTCTTCTTTTGTGAAATGATCTTCACAGTTATAACCTGCAGGACTCTGACTCCCTAAAAAAACCTGTCTGTTTAAACATATATGCCAGTAAATAAAAGTATGAATTTCTTCATGCATATATGTTTGGGGTATTGTACTAAGAAGCAGAGTTAACTGCATTTTGAGTGTACATATGTGTTATGTAGTTAATTATGAAGACGTTGTTTGAATTTGCAGCAATGGGAGGGAGTGAATGCTCTTTTTGCAGTGCTTAATTCTAGGGTGTTTTGCCAGTGTCAATAATTAATTGTCTAATACTAGTTAATAAACAACACTATTAAACAATGTTCTTACTATAGCTATAGTATTTCATATGCTAAAGAGACCGGTAAATCATCAAAAGACCTACACAGTCAAATAAAACCCCGGTCCGCAAAACACTCTTAGAAGTGGTGGTCTACAGGCATTTTATTTAGAAAGTCAGCTGATAATGACAGATTTAATAAAATCTCAGTTTCAAAATTTCTCAGTGATTTAGGAACTATGTTACATAAATCCAAACCTGATAAATCCCCTATTTTGTTGACTACATTGGGATTTGAATGAAATTTAGGCTTCACATGTATGTTCTTGAGAAATTTCCACCTCACTCTTTAGGTATCTGCAGTCCTAGATATACCTAAGGGGCAGAATTTCCACGCAGAATTGCTCCTGCCTTAGCAGGAAAGAAACACATCTTGAATCCTTCTAACAGGGATTTCTGTGCCTAAAAACACTTATGGCATAATCTACTCAAGACTAGATGGCAAGGATGGTTGCTCACCAGACACAACAGCCATAGCTGTTTTTCTTCCACAGTGCGGCAAGAGACTGAAGTGTTGATATGATATATTAGGAAACTTGTGCAGAAATGCTCCTCAGTTCCTTCTGCAGCATGAGAGACCCCAAGCCTGTATTTTCTGTCAGCCTGGTGAAGCCCTAACCACCCCACTATAGGCTATTCTAAAAAAAAAGAAAGCATTCCTTATATGTTATGCTAAACGGTGTAAAAAGAATTTAATGTAGGGCTATATTTAAGTATTCCCTGGTCCAAGCAGCGGATGAAAGAATGCCAGATTTTTCCCTTTCTGTGTATAAAAGACAGAAACAGTCCTTGCAACCATGACCCAAACCTGGTCCTCTTTTCTGCCTGCACCACTGGACAGGAGAACTTCCCTCCGTCTGGTTCTGTCAAGGTCCCAGCTCTGTTTTCCAAAGCAACAGAGCTGCAATACGAAGAATTTGGATGGACCTCTCACTCCAGCCCACCCCAAAACAGCCTGCTGATTAAGAGCCTTGGCCTAGACCCCATTCCTCCTGAGAAAGGCCTTTTATCTCGGTTTCCTGTACCTTTGGCAAATGTTTCAGGAACTGAGCTATTGTACACAAAGGCCAAGTCCCTGCCTCCTCCTACTCTGGCCGACTTTTAAAAGGAGACTTACATGTATGATCTCTTTGTTCTGCAGTTCAGCCTCAGTAATTTCTCATCCACAATGATCTAATTTTTTAGCTTGAAATTATAAAAATTGTGAATGTGGACTTTTCTGTGGGCTGTTCACTAGCGTACAGGATTCCCTTCAAAAGTAGGTGAAGTGATTAATTCACCAAGGGCAGAATTGAAAAAGTGGCATAATTTATAAAACACAATCACTTTTTTCTCCCTCGTCAGAAATTTAGCCCAAGGAAACAAGAAATACTGATGAAGTTTCTGACCGTGTCTTTCAGCAACTTGATATTTGAGCAACTCATTTCTTCAGCTCTGCTTTATGCCCATTTGCTTTGCTTCTTTTCCAGTCACTATGGGTGTCATTAATAAGCTTAAACATAAATCATTCACAAGTAATTATTTATGAAAAATCTGCATATTTTATTTTGCTCTGGATTAAGGTGATGTGGATAAAGATTTCTTATCCATTACCACTGAATTAATCTAAAATTATTATTATCAATAGTTGAGTGTTTGAGTCTGCTCAATATCCCCAGATTTCTACTGATTTCAGTTGATCTTGGCAGAATCAGGCCTCTTAATCTTTCACTTCTGCAAATGAGAAGCTGCAAATAAGGGGAGAAAAAGCCCCCCTTTGTGACATGCTGAGAAATTAATTGATACCTCCAGTAAATGTTATGAATGAGTATGGGGAGGGTGTGAGGCTGATGGATGCTGGTGTGAATGTCTGTGTAATATCAGCTGTCATTTACATGCCCAAGAATGAATTCTGGAATTGCTCATGGGAAAGGGAAAAAGAAAAAAATAAAATCAAATAAAGAGAAGATCATAATAGCCTCACAACAGTGTAAGGATTTAACGCTGTAGTGGACTATCTTCTGCATCAAAGTTCCTGTATGGCCATTTTCTCTTATTTAAATAATTTACTCATTTTAGAGTTTATTCATACCTGTTTATATTTTTCATTCATTTTTATTCAATATCAACTTGCAAATCTTACATGCCATTGTGGTGAGTTGATTTTAGGAAGTGGGCTTGGGCTCTAGAGTGTGAGGAAAATCTTGAGTTTTATTGTTACCATCTTATATCACTGAAAAATAGGTAGGTCCTTACAAAACTGAGTCTCCTATTTACAACTACAGCATGGTTACCCACATTAACCGTTAATCTAACCTTAATATACTAATACAGCCAGCCTTACAAAGCATCTAGTCTAAACTGTAAATATGATTAAACTACAGAGTTATCAGAGGGAATCTCAGGAGACCACCCAGTCCTCCTCTGCCAAAGGCAGATACCATTAGCACTCTGTCCTTCCTGGCACTTGTTGAATTATCTTCTTCTAGCTGAAAGATTTCCAGTGATAAAAAATCCACAGTTCGCTTTTGAAATAGGTATGATGTAAATCTAATGTAAGTTAGAATATGAATCAATTGAATGTCACTATTAGAAAAAACAAATAACTTCAGAATCTGTGTTTTACAATACCTTTATGTCTTTGCATTTTGTCTAGCCAGGGAATGAAGAATGAAACTTAAGGAAGCCCACTAACAGTTTCACATGCACTGATTTATGCCACTGAGTCCTCACTACTTGTTTATTAACTTTAATTTTCATAGTTTCACTCTACAGAAAAAAAATAGGTGGAAAGTGCGGTAAAATCAAATCTCTCATTCTTTCTATTGAGAAGGAAATGTGTAAAAATTTAATGTTTTGTTGGATTTTAGGATGTACGATTTCAGTTGCAACCATATGAAAAATAACCAGTGTCCACTGATGTGGGTCTGCAAAGGGGCTGAAGAGACGGGGACAAGGAAAGAGGAGAGTTACATATGAATTTTGCCATTTCAGAAGACTGACTTCAGTCCTGAATTTCCTTGCGAACCTTGGGCAGCTAGGCATTGCACTCTGAGAGCCAGCAATGGTATTAACTGGAGACTCAGCCAAAGCTGCACACACAGTCAGCTCCTACTGATGGTTTAAGGAGATTTCAGGGTGAATCAGCTTACTTTGGCCCTGTGCCCAGAGCAGATTTTACCCTTGCTGGCATGCTTAAAGCTTCAGCTGACTTCTGCAAAAGCTTTGGGTACAAGTGTGTAGGTTCCCTGTGCCATCCCAGGATTTGTAAAGACTTGTCTGAGGTTGACTACAAAGCTTCATTCTTCCTAGGCAAAATCTTGAATAATAACCTGGGGTCCCATGCGTTTGGCCAGTACTCAATTCCTGAGGCACAGTCAGTGTTCACATTTATTCCTATATCCTACTTAAAGTTGTCTTTTCCCCAGTGGATTTTGTGTATCCCCGCTCCTTTGATTAGTGCAGCCTCCACCACAGGTTGCCGGAGAGAAAGAGAAGATAAAAGCTGAAATAAATACCACAGGCCAAATTTTGCTATCATCTAATGAATCAGTTTTACAAATCATTATCCTACTCCCCAGTAATGACTGGTCTTCATTTTAGTGTTCTGTCGCTGGAGCCTTTACTGATTGAGTATTATTATTTCAATGATTCTCCATCATAAAAACACTTCCCTGACTCAACTTATAACACTGTCTGCCCTTAGACACTTGCAGCTCTGTCCTCAGATTATTATGGTCTCTGTTCCTCTCATTGATTGTCTCCTGTTAGTGCCAAGCCAGCACAATACATTGGACAAGTTTACAGATAATCTTGGGCTCACTTGTTTTACTTAGCTGGGAACTGCAAAAGTTTCAACAACCCAGGTATTTCTGCTCACTGGAAAAGGATCTTCTAAAATAATGATCCAATCACACATTAATATGCTGTTCCAGTGTATAAGGATACTGTTAATATCTATTTAAGAGAGGAAATTCAGTATTTGCTCCTAGGCTAAATGACGTCTCTGGATGCCAGATAAACGTCATTTCTCCACAGTATGGGTCTAATGCAAGACACTTCTTTGATATCCTTGGCATGCAGATACTTGATCAGCTCCTATTGGTGTCGGGAATGGTCGAGTGTGACAGTGGAAACTTTAGGTGGGAAGGGATTATCAGTGGAAGGAAAGAGGTTTTTCATTTGTTTCCAGTGTAAAAAGGGGGAAGAAAGGATGCCCTGGAGGAATATAGTCTGAAATGGGTTATTCATTATCTCAGCTGGCATTTCTGAGTCCTTGGCTTAGCTTCCAGCCTAACTCTGATGAAACCTTTCTCACTGTCAGCAAGGACATCTCTGACTAGCATAACACAAAAACCACTATATCATTTTACTGAAAATGTAAAGGTACTTTATTTCAAAAGTGGAATGAATCAAGATTGTACTAATCACAAGCAGGAAACATCCAGCCACAAGTTTTTAACATTTTTTTTAGTACTCTTTTCAGCCACTTTCACATTCACCTTGAAAATATGAAAAAAATCTTTTTTCTCTTTGCTACACTTACTTATAGGAACACCATTGTCTCAGAATAAAGATCCTGGGTGACTGTTACTACTGTGTGTCGGGGCTCCCAGAACCTCGCCAGGACCATGCACACTGCTGTGTTGAAATGGGGCTCAGCATGATCAAAACTATCAGGTAATGTTTTGGTTTTTTTCCCCCTCCTTCTTGTTCCATTATTTCTGACAGTGTCCTGAACTTCTTATCTGAGAATGCTATTACTAGACAAGTAATTCCTATGGTGGTTCAGAGACCTCAGGATTATCACTGTCAAAAGGGCAGGACTTTTTTGATCCATGTAATGCGTGGGAACAGATACAAAATGCATTTTATTAACCTGTGCTGCTTCAGAGCATGCAACACAACAGCTGTGTGTGCATTGTAAGTGACAGGTTTCACAGTTCTTAAGAGTTCTCACTTTGTACTGTTGTCATTTTTAAGATGAGGTTGAGGAGGAGGAGACTGAATTGCTTCCTATAATTCCTTTAATAAAATAAAACAATATAAACACTAAACAGACAGCTGTGACAATACTTCAGCTTGGAAACTAGCTCATAGACAACTCATAGCTCATAGCACTTTCCTCTTTCCGTGCATGTTTTTCTGTCCAATCTCTTTGTCTGCTTCTTTTCCAGACTGCTTTACCCCTTTAATCTGAGTGTGTCTCATTACGTACATCAGACAGCTAATGCACACTGCAGCTACATTACTGAGATCTTAATACAGAAAGAATTTGACAAAAATTAATTAATGGAAAGCATAACTGAATAATGATTATGCAACAATGATCTCTAAGAAGCTTGAATTCAATTATCACAGACTAAATGTTGCACAAAGTAATCAATATTTTGCGTCTGGAATCCCCACAGTGAAAGTGAAACGTGAATTAGAGAACACAGAGATGAAAAAATCTACCAGCATTGTTAAAAATTCTTGGAGACACACATTAAATCATTTGCATTTGCTTGGTAATACCATCTGCAGCAAACCCATTGCAAGTCATTTTTCTTCTAAGATAGTAAATTTCTTTACACATCTCCTTATACATGTGGAAGTCTCTAACAGCCCAATGTCCTTTCATGAACCAGGTCTCAAAGGCAGTAATCCAGTAGCAATGGCACTGTATTTTTAGTATCTTAAATGACAGTTATATTCAGTGGGAGCTGTGAAACCAAAGTCCATTAGGACTTGGGTCATCCCAGGCTAATTCAGTTCAGAATGACTCCAATTTATTTGCTAATCCCAGTATCTGAATTTCTGGCTATTCAATGTGCATGATTTTTTCCCTCAGACTTTTCTGTTCAGAGTAGAGGAGCCTTATGTTACTTATCTGAATGTGTTCTCATGTAGTTCACAGGGAGAACCAATCCTTTCATGGGATATTACAAATACTTCAGTCCACATTTCTGAAAGAATTTGGAGTTATCTGGAGTCTATTAATTAGAACTTAAATTAGTAGATATCTCTCACATTTAAAATGAAAATTATCCCTTTTTTTTAGAAAACGGAGTTTCTATTATATTGGTCACTGCAGAATTTGATCAGACCTAAAACCTGTTAGAAATGACATTTTTATGATTATTATTTTTTTTATTTTCATCTGAAGATTTCACAAAAGAAATGTTTTGTATGTCCAAAATAATAGGGAGGTGATCCAAGCTATGAGAAACCGTCACAGTTACAATGACGTTATATAGATGAACTTAAAGCCTTCTTGCATATCAGAAGTTGTTTACAGGAAACTTAAGAAAATTTCACTATTTATAAGTTGTTTTTTCTCCCTCTTGGAGACTTATATCTTAGCTTTTAAATCTTAGCTATATTTTAGCTCGAGCACTTAGCCTAGCTTAAGAATTAGACATTAAAACAAAAACCAGGATTTATGCTACAACATCCCACCTATAATGGAGATTTGGGCACCTAAATTTTGGAGAGCAATCCAGGTACTTTTATAACTCCTGATTCTTGTACTGGTTCAAGTTCTTTATGCAATTAATGTAGAATTAAGTTTTAAATTAGGCAGACCAGATTTTCCCCTGCAGGTCCTCCAAGATTCCTGTTCTCTCCATTGACAGCAAGTAGTTGGTAATGTTACAAGGATCAGTACCAACACTTCTGGTGAGACAGTGCCCAGAAATCTACCATCTCAGGGTACCATTACTGAATTTTCCTTCTAGTCTTCTTCATAACTGCATGGTCATTGGGAATTGAACAAGAACGTCAAATTTATTCATTACACAATATGTAAAATAAATCTACATGGACAGATTGACTCACAAGGGACTTCAAGTGTTTTCATACAGCTCATATCCATACAGCTAAAGTGCTAATTTATTGTTAAAGGAGACTATACAACTTGATCTTAAGCTCGTATACCAAAGATCTAGACTTGAGTCTTGCTGCTCCACCACTCTCTCTTTGCAGATGTAAGGAACTGTTCAGAACTCATCAAAACAATCCAAGGCCATTATTTTCTCTGTAATGAGTTTTTTTGTCACTGTGTCGTCTTACAAATCTTATGAAAGAAAAGCTATTATTGTTATTCCGCTCTGTCTTCTATTTTGCTCCCTTAACCATTGAGTACAATTGAAATAAATACAACTTTCAGCCATGGGAAGGTTCCATGAAATCTAATATTTACTCTAAAACAAGGAAACTTTGCCCCATCGCATTTGTACATGAACAAGAATCCTAACTCCAGCTATCTTGCAAAACCCAACCTCCTGTAAACTCTCTTTAGCTGCCATTGGAAATGCAAATTAAAACAAAAAGAACAAGCTCTTCACAAGGGGTTCATTTATTCAGCTGGTTCTCATATCTTTTTACATGCAGCCTAACTCTTCCTGTATTTAATTTTATTGTATTAATGTCTGTCTGTACTGACAGTTGATAGAAACGTGATACTAGTGGAATGTTTAGTCATCAGATTATAACATTTCATTTTAACAGTTATCACCCAAACTAAATGGGTGTCAGAGATAACACGGAAAGAAACTCTATCTGTAATTGCTCTTACTTGTAAGAAAGAGCATCCATCTTTACCATCTTTATCTTTATGTCTATGTAGGGAGGGAAAGATTTGCAAGAAGAAAGCAGTCATTGGTGTTTTGACTGTGTGTTAGTGAATTCCAAAGCCATGCTGGAGTGCCAGATGGATGGGATTATGGATAGGATATGTGATAAAATTCAAGATGAGGACGTCTATTTGCTGACAGTCAAATATGGAACATGACCTTAAGACCTAGCAATAAAATGAGGTTAGATCTGCTGAGACAATCGTTCCCTCAAATATATTAAAATGGATGTAAAATAGACAAGAGTAAGATCTAGTACATAAAAGTAATTCTGAACTGAGATAATTTCTAAATATCACGTTATGCTCCAGAAAGAGATTAGCATGCTTGTTCATTGGGATTTTCCATTCTTTGGGTTGGGCTGTGAGGAGAGGAATGGATGTATAAAGCATAGTGAAGAAAGTTCAGAGGGAAAGTGAGGGAAAGGAGAAAGGAGAGGAAGTGTGAAAGCAAGTGGAAATAGAGGGAGGCTGTCAAGAGAGGTGAAGGAAATAATCTTAAAGAAGAGGAGACAGGACTTCCAAAATGTAAATTATAGAGCATAGTCTGTCAATGTCAAGACTGAAATGAGAATGAGTTTTGGTGTGGTGGCCTCATTTTAAAAAGCTTGTTAAACACTTTTATAGGGGTGCAGGGAAAAGTCACAAAAACAATTTGTGAAGCAGAAGTGATTTTAAAATAAAAGAATTGTGAAGCATGATCTGTTTAGCTGAGAAAAAAAAAAGATTGAGATGTTACCTAGTAGCAGCACATAAAACATTTTATAGGCAGAAAACACTAGATTTAGCAATGGGCGATGGTATTACTAAGAGAAACAATGGCTTTTCTGTTCCTCAGTGTTTTCAAATCAAAACCGAATTTCTTCCTAGAGTAAATAATTCCATCAGGCACAAGTTGCTGGAATACAAACAAGCACGAGTGGGTAGAATGTACCAGCCTGTGTGGCACAGGGTATCAAGGTGGACGATGTGAGCTCTGCTCTTCAGCTCGGGACACCGTGGCAGCCTCTGTGACGGGAGCTGCCTCCAGGGGCTGAAGGCTGCTGCTTTCACCACCACCTTCCCAGACATCCTTATTCCTAAAATCTCTGTTCCTGGGAAGAGAGCGAGGGAGAGAGGTTGTCTGAGGCCCAGCTCCTCAAGGACTCACTCACTTGGTATAAAGATGGAAATCCCACAAAAAAACATGTAACAGTGGAAATTCAAACCTTTACGCTGGTATATTTGTTTGGTAGATCAAGGAGTTCTGAGTGGTTTCATCTTTTGGATTATTTCCCAGCTGAAAGAGTAATTATTATGACAGAAAAAATAGTCCCAGCATAGAATGCAAGCTAAACTCCAGAAATTAGATAACTGCTTTTCTTCGTTACAAGTCTGTAATTAACTACTAATATCAACATCAATTCATGAGAGAGTAAAAAAAACCTAAACAACAAACCACACATACAGAAAAAAAAAAAATACAACAACCAAAAAAAGCCCCAAAACACCACAACTATTTCAGATTGTCTCACTGACTGACCTGGCGGGTTTCCTGCCTTTAGCATGAAAAACTGCTTTTAACTTCATCTGTTGGGTACTAAAAAGTCATGAAATGATCAATGCTTGTTAAAGAAGTTACTCAGGCAGTGAAGCAGCCAGGAATTTCTTTCGTACTCCATGACGAATACATTGTTATTTAATTATATAAATACACAATAATATAATTGATCCAGTTTTGGATTCCTTCCACAGATTATTTCTTCTATAATGTACAAGGCTCAGCCTATAATGGAACGAGCCCCGATTCACAGAAGACAGAACAATGCTTCACAAAACCAAAACCTATTCCTTACTTTCAATTCTGCGTGGTGGTGGAAAGGGGCATTTGCAAGATATTCACAGGTTCAGCCAGCACTTTTCCGACAGGCCACTGAGTGAATAGGTTTCACGCTGGGACTCGATCACATCGTCACCTCCACGTGTCCGATTCAGCCCCTGCCTGCGAATGCACGGAGCGGCAGGACAGTACATCTTTCCCTGGGTTTGCTGTTGGGTGACTACACAAATTGAACTGGGTGGAAAT